TCGCTTCACAGTCTTAGCTTTTTCTAAGCAAGCGAGCGGCAAGCCTGGCTCTGTGGCTGCTTGCTCTCCGGTGGGCGGCCTTGTCTCTCCAGCCCGTCCCACCCTCAGGGAAGAGGAGGTCCCTCTGACGAGAGCCTCGAAGGGAAGAGTGCCAAGAAGCCAGAAGGGGCAGCTGCTCCCACACTGACAGTGGGGTGGGCATACGGTTAGGAGACAAGGCCTTTGTGAGAGGAGGACCCCCACCCCCCAATGTAGGGTGCGGCACTTGGGCAAACCCATTTCTTTACCACGGAGAAGGACAGCAGTCTGGGGAGCAGTGCTCTAAACCCAAATCACACCCCGCCAGCCTATGGCTGCAATGGCTGGATTCTAACTTACGATTAGAATTTCCCTTTACAGAATGCTGGGGTGCTGAGCAGCAGACCGTTGGCCTGGCCCCCACCCTCCACCCCCACCAGCCCTGCCGTGCGGTACCCTGAGCCCTGCCTCGGTGAGCTCCAGGCAGTATCTGCTCCCCTCCCGGGTCTCCACGTTGATGTAGGCCACATCATCCGCGCAGCGCAAGCTCCTGGAGACCCGCATGCTGTTGACGGCGAAGAGGACATCGCTGACCACGGCCTCGGCCTCCAGTCGCATGTCTTTCACGTCAGCACCTGGCCCGCTGCTCAGCTCCATGGGTCAGTCTGCCTCCTCCTGCAAGAGCACATCCAGAGCATTTAGACACACTCCCACCCGTCGGCGGGGGGGGGGGGAGATGATGGGTGGTGAAAGGAGCCCTCGGGTCGCAGTGGGCAGACGGCTAGCCACAAGTCGGCAGCTGGAACCAGTCAGCCACTCGGTCGGAGAAAGATGCAGCTGCCTGCCTCCTCTAAGCCGGACGGCCTCAGAAACTATAGGGGCAGGTCCACCCTGTCCTCGAGGGGGCTGCGTCAGAACTGGCTCTATGGCAGTGGGTTTTCGAGGCCTTATAGCAAGGAGCCTGGGGGCACCCGTGGGCGTGCAGTCGGCCCCCAATGCTGGCAGTTCAACCATTACTGACGGCTGCAGTAAAGACGGACAGCCTCAGAAACCCACAGGGGCAGGTCCACCCGACAGCAGGGCGTGTGTTTGGTCTGGCAGCCTGCAGCAAAGTCTCCTCCCCATCAATGGGCACAGCGCGATCACAGAAATAGACGGTCTACAACAGAGGCCTTTCCCCACCTCCCTTCTGAGTCGACTGCCTACTGGCACGCACTCAGGACACCACCACCCTCGGTGAGAACCCTGCTGTGTCCCCCTGCCCAGGGCATGGGCCCGTCTCTAGAAGGGACGCTGGGCCAGAGATGGAACTGCCGAGTGGGCTGCTGCACCAGAGGCTGAGCGGCTGCTCTCCCCGCGTACCACGCTCTTCAAATGGCACCGACTGCTATCTTGCAGGATGAGTGTGACCTAGTTTGGAGCCCTGGTGGCAGTGATCAAAGCACTCGGCTGCTAATCCAGTCAGTGGTTCAAATTCAGGCTCTGCTACCAGTTAGATTTACATCTAGGGGACCCTATGGACGGGGTCACAATCCAGAACTTTGCCTCCAAGAGCAAGCCCTCCTCAGCCCAGGGCCACATTTCATAGCCCCTTCAAGGTGGCCTCTAAACTCTCCTTCTGCGACATCAGCGTCTCGATGAATCCTGGGCATTTTTGGTGGGACATTCACCATTTTCCATGCAGCCCAATACTCACTTAAGGACCAGTCTTTCCACCCCGCCATGGAACTGTATGTGGATGTTTCTTCCCGCATGACTGCCAGGTTGCTGTGGACGGGCTTCTCTGTGCTGAGGCCACAAGGATCATGTGAGCAGACAGCACAGCACGGGCAAGACAGGCACCAGACATGGGACTGTGCCAGACGCCCCCAGCGGAGGACCCCGCAGGGCTGTCGCCGCACGCAGCCAGATTTGCCTGACACGGCTATCTCTAGGAGCCCACCCCACATGCTTGTGGCAAACGACCACATACTGCCCCTCTGTGGGTCGTGGCCAGGTGGCAGGCCCCGCATCACTGGACTAGACCAGGGGTGATAGTCTGACGAAGCAGCTAACCTGTTATAAACACTCAGACCGCTGGCCTGGCCTTGATCAGGGCCCACCTGCGTCTCTGAGGTTACCCACCTGTGTCGCCTGTCCCATGGGTGAGACCCTCGGAACGAGTGGTTCTCAGCCTTGACTGCTCACTAGACTTGCCTGGGAGAGCCACCCAGACCCGACCTCCGACTAGGGGGAGGGACACGGGGGATGGACCACCCTGGCGCAGGGCCACTGCTCAGCAGGACCAGCAAGCAGCCCAAGGTGAGATAAGAGCTGCAGTCGAGTGTTAGGCCCAGGGCTTCAAAGCCAAAACCCGCTAAAGGCAACTGCCGATGGAAGTGTGAGGAGCCCCTGAGAGGCGGCAGCTGGTGTTCTACTACTGACGGGAAGGCCGGGCCGGCGGTCTGAACCCACCAGCTGCTCCAAAGGAGAAAGGTGTGGCGGTCTGCTTCCGTAAAGATGGCGCCCTCAAAACCCCCGTGGGGCAGTGCAATTGTCCTATGGGGTTCTCATGAGCCGGAATCAACACAACAGCAGAGCTATTTTTTAAGATGACACAGCAGGTACAAGAGCATGTTCCCTCAGCCCACGTTAAATCAACGGTGTTCTAAGGCTCTTTTCTCTGGTCTCACAGGACTTCACAGGCTGAGTGACATTTGACTCACAATATGAGCTAAATATACATTTAGCAATCACTGCTGGAGCACTCCGTCAGGTCACAGAGACTAGGTTTGAAAGCAGAAACCTGAGAAGAGCTGGCACACTCCTCCTCAGAGCCCATGAAGACATACAGACCACACTTTATGTTGAGGACAGGCGCCCATTTCCTGTTCTGACACCACTGGTTGACAAGGCTCCATCTCCTGGACCAGCCATGCCTCCTTTGTTCACGTAACGCCTCCAGGACAAACGCTTCCAGGACAGGTGCCAGAGATCGTGAGCAGGGAGGGAGACAGGCAGATTGTATTCCGGTGGGGGTGGGAGGAGACTACAAACCCAGGCCCAAGAAGTCGGTGCCCAAGCTCTGGGCTGCTGCTGCAGTCACAGTACCAGACTGCCGGAGAGGAAGCTGCTGTCCGAGGCTGCAGCACCAGCTTTCCTCAGAATGATGCGTGAGATGGTGGCACATGTGTGAGAGACAGACAGACAGACACAAGGACTAAAGAGGATGATGGATGCACAGGGCGGAAATGAAACCCGAGGTCCTCTCATGAAAGCATGACATGATTAAATAACACTTTAGCAACTCCCACAAAGCATGCCTTGCTAGGCCTGGCAATAGGAGCCCTGGTGGAGCCGTGACTAAAGTGCTCAACTACTAATCAAGGGGGGGGTGGCGTCTGTGTTGGTTCCTTTTGTTGCTGGTACATTCGCCGCTCGTGGCCCAGAACCCCACAGCACTCAGGCCGACCTCGGTCGTCCTGCAGTGAAGGAGCCCACTTGGAGGCTGGCTGCCGGAGGGCCCCTGCTGTGGTCTGGGAGCTCTTCCTGTGGCCTGTTTGCCAGGGCAATACAAAAACAGCGTAGGAGAGAGATTTCACCTAATTCACCGGAAGCTCCCAATTCCAGTTCCTCGAAGAAGCAACGTGGGGTGTCTCCAGGCTTCCAACCGGCTTGAACGGGCTCAATCAGGGCTGACTGAGCCAAAATGGAACAGGCCTGCACTTGTAAAATACGGGCGCACAGCACAATCATTGGAACGGGAGAGCTGGCTGATGTGCTGGGACACAAGACTTTCAGTGCAGGGACTGGGAGGTGACCACGGAGGGCAGCAGAGGCCAAGCAGCTCCAAGCTAGGCGGGGTTCTTGGGGGAAGAAAAACTGTGCATGTATATATATATATATATATATATATATATATATATACACACACACACACACATACACACACACACACACATATATGCATGCGTGTATGTGGAGAAATTTAGATCAAGAAAGTGGTCCACCCAGCTGTACTCGTGGTTAAGTCCAGTCTGGTTCCAGATCTGAAGCCAGAGACTTGGGTTGCCTCGTGTGGCGGCCAAGGCTGGGGGACCAGGAGGGCCAAACAGGAGGACGATGCGCGGCAGAGGTGGAGGTTGTGAATACAGAGGTGGATCAGCAGCACAGACATTAAGCTCTGATGGCTCTCGGGGGCCAGCCGTTGGCTCCAGTCCAAAGAACCAGAAAAAGTGTGACAGACGCAGGACCCACACCAGCATGGAGAGGCAAGTCCCCCACAGTGTCTACTTATATATTAAGAAGTCGGCCACACCCCTGAGAGACACCTTCAGGCTGTAACCTGAGTAAGGGGTCACACTCCACCCTAAACTTCTTGCCTCAAGGGGCAGATCCCATCCTGAAGTTGTTTGCATTGTGTTATAGTGTTACGTCATGTCACAGGGGGTTAGGGGGCGCTTACTGTCAAACTGAAGGTGAGGGTAACCGGGTCAGCCAAGGTGACACAAAGCCTCACTCACAGCAGCCTTGCCGAGCCCACGCTGCAGGCCGAGAGGCCTCGGTTCTGTCAGCATGAACGTGGGTGGCCCTTGTTCTCCACCATTCTGGTTACCATCCTGATCCTCTCACATTTTACCACCTCGTGTCTGTTCCCGTGTTGCTTTGTCTGCCTCCAATGAGATGGGAGGACCATTTCCACCCTGGACAGGGGTGCTCTTGCCCAGGAGAGGAGCCAGTGTCTGCAGCAGGAGACACTGCTTCTGTACAGCACATCTCATCAGAGGATGGGACGGGTCGGCTTCAGTTTCCTTTGCATTCTCGCAGATGCCCGGCCATTTCACCCCTTTCTGACTGCACTTGTCCCGTCAGCACACGCTCACTGCCCGGCCACCCCCCAACCCCCAGGTTCCCATCTCCTCTGTTCTAGTGCCAGTTGTCCGTGGTTCTAGATAGTTCTTGAAAGAGCTGAGTGCTCAAGGCAGACATCTTTCATGGTTCAGCTAAACGACAGTCTGATTTTGAGAAGATTCCAGGGGATGTTTCTGGTTCCCAGATCGCCACTACTGACGTTAAGAGCATCCCAGGTGGGCAATGCCCGATGCTAGGAATTTCCCAAAGCCTCCACAGGAGGACACTGGCATGCGCGTACAGCCCACTGTGCTCAACCACAGGTGCCATGCTGTGCCATGTGGTTCCAGGCCATGGCAGAAAGGGTGGGTGTCTGTGGGAGGTTCCACCAGAGCATCACCTGGAGGCTGGCCAGGGGCCTGGGAACTGCCTGGAGCCGCGAGCCCTGGACTCTGGAAGGTGGCTGGCAGATCAGTCTGATCCTTCCTGGAGGAGTGTGAACACACAGGCAGAGGACACGAAGCCAGTTAGCTGGTGACAACGGTAATGAGGGTGCGGGGCAGCAGCAATGCGCTGTGTCTGCTACACGCCTTTTACGTGCCCCAATGAGTAAACGCATGTTCGGCATACACCCCCCTCTTACAGGGGACTGAAAGATGTATACGTCATACTCCATGAAAACACTGAACATTAAAATCACTCAACTGGAGTGTAAGTCGGAGGTGAAAAAAGAAGAGAAAGCATATTTTATCCTTAATCCCCACAGGTCATTTGTTACCATTTCTAGTCTCATCCATCTGCCGTGGATCAATCCTCCCAGCTTCTGATGTCTGAACAAGCCTCCG